TTTATATTCTTTTCTTTTGTTAAATTTATTAAACCAGGTGAAAGTAACAAAATGTACTAAAATTGTTGTAAAGAATCAGTGAAATAAGTTTTATAATTGGAAATTACAGAGGTGCACTTTCAACTCCCAATTAAAAATTAGTTTCTCCCTTATTAGAGGAGCTGAATGTACCAAAATGCATTAAAACTGTGGTGAAGTATCAGTGAAAAGAATTTTGCAGTTTAAAATTATCAGGGTGCACTATCAACCCTCAATTTGAGAACGTCATTTTTATTTCTTGATAAATTAATTTCGTACTTATAAAATGATCTGAAGGTACCAAAATGTAATAAAATAATTCCTGGGTAGATACAAACTAAAATTATTCGGCTAAAAATTACTAGTGAATATTTTAAATCCTCTTTAGAAAGCGAGTCCTTTATAAATAAATTTAAAACAGCAATTGTTGATAAGCAATTCAATCTTTCCATAAGATTTTACACTATTGCGAATTTAAATAATTCAGTCTTACAATTACAATTGTTATTACACATAACATAAGTACTTATAATTAATATGTTTTATTCTAATCTAGTTTATTAATTACTACTTCCTCTGTCATCAGACTGATCACCTGTTGAATTGATGGGAGGTAAATAGAATGACCGAATGATACCATGAAGACGGGCAACTTCTGCATCTTCTCTTTCTAAATTTCGTATCATTTGGGAAAATTTTACTATTCCTTCTCTGCCTTCAGGAAAGCCATAATCTTTAATAATATCCATCTGTATTTGCATGACTACTGGAAAAACGTATTGCATAATTTTTAACATTTCGTTCCCTACATTGTCTCGAGCTTCTTCCAATTTTTGAGAATTCTCTGGAGTCTGCAGCTCTTCTAGAGTTTTACTTAAAATTGAGATGGCAGTTTCAGCTGTTAAAGTTGGAATTTTGTTTATTTTCGACATTGTTATTAAAATTATTACAGACTTTGAAAGCAAGGTTATGTAAACGTCATCATAATTTCTTCTTGTTCTTCACCATAGATAATAGATATACAAAGGGTTCTTCAACTAAACATCAATGGCCACTAACTATAGATTCACCTAAATAATTTTCTATTGCAGTTACTTTATTCTATTAAAATTTACTAAACTATATAACTAGAAGACGTTTAGTTAACTAATAAATGTTTTATGAAGTGAAAAGGTTTAAAAGGAAATATATGATTTTTAACAGATCTTAGAGACTTTGACCACAACTTCCTATTGTTCATAGATTAAACTACCAAAAGTATCAAAAGCAATTAACCTATAAAATTAACCTTGTTTTTCATAACTTTAAATTCTTGGTCACGCGTCTGTTTTTATTATTCGTTGAGTAATTATGGTAAATATTAACGAAAGCCAAATTCGAGACATCGGTAAAGTGTTAAATGATGTTAAGAGACCTTTAAAAGAGAGATTTCGAGCATTGTTTACTTTGAGAAATATCGGTGGTTCTACTTCGATAGAATGTATTGGACAATGTTTTGCTGATAGTTCTGCCCTTTTGAAGCATGAATTGGCTTATTGTTTAGGACAAATGCAAGACGAATCTGCTATTGATCTGTTAATTAAGGTTTTACAAGACACTGGTCNAATTAATTTCTCCATTATTAAACCACTTGAATAAACCAGAACGCATTAAAATTGTAGTGAAATATCAGTAAAAAGAATTTTATAGTTAGACGTTATCGGGGTGAACTTTTAACTCCCAATTTGGGAATATCTTTTTTTCTTGATAAATTAATTTCTTCCTTATGAAATGAACTGAAGGTACCAAAATGTAATAAAGTAGTTCTGGATGAACAAAAAGTAAAATTATTTGGCTAAATTTTATTAAGGAATATTTTACATTACACTGACGATGAAAATCCTTTGCAGTACTGTGGGCAGCCTATATGAAAAGCGGAAAAGCAGTATTTAAAACAAGGAATTTTAAATTCAAATTATCTTGTTACCTGCGCGCGAAATTAAACGAGTAGATAAAGATGGATACGTTACAGTGTGAGTCGAACTTTTTAAGCAATTAAATTTTTCGATTTTAATAAAATAATTTATCGAAATTTATTTGGTTTATAAGCAGTGTATGAAAATAGTTATGATTTCATTGCACTGATCGGAAGTACATCACTTTGTCTGGAATATTTGTTTAATCTGGGCAATTTTACGGTGTGTACTGTACATTGCGATATTTTATACGATTTATAATAAACATTTTTTTAGTTAAATGTGGACAAAACACTTTATTTAGGAAAATTGCGCTATTTCATTTTCAATTGAATTTTTCCTTATTACCTAAGGAAGTTGGGGGTATAAAAAGATAATAAAGTAATAATAGTCTGAGAGATGTTTCTTACAGTTAATCGAAAAAAGCGTTTGTTTTTTTTAATTTACATGTAGTACGAATAAGAACAAAGTAATAAATTTCTATTTTTTTTGTTTTTCGTATTGGTATCTAAATTCAGTATTTTTAAAGAATATTGTACGTATTATTTTAATAGTCCTTTTATACATCGTACAATTTTTCAACATTCTTTCCAAATGATATCTTCCTCCTAATCTCATTAATAGCCTTTATTCGGTCACCTTGCCCAATAGTTTCGAGAAATAATATGTTTATATTTTGGATGTGTGAAGATACATTTTCTCAATAGGATCTTCAATTCCTTCGTTAAGAATAAACAATCGAATTAAATTTAAGCAGTGAAATTTTGTAAAAATGCCTATATATTCTAAAACGTATTTTTTTGTAACAGATGTATTGTAGGATTGATAACGATTTTGACATGATCATCTTGTCACAGATATTTCTGATTTTATTAAGGGCTTTAATGAAAGCGTTTTGAATTAAAAAAAAACCTAAAAAACAAGTTAACACTTATCTTTATTACATTATTAGGAAGCAGGAAGCGGAAATCACAGGCACATGTACAATAATAATACTTAACACGCATTTGCATGAATTTCTTGTTGGAAAATATAAAATGAATATTAGATGCTAGATTTTTTTTATTGATATGAGTAATTGTCTATAACAATAATTTTTAATAATAGGTACTTTTTTGCAGTTTTTTTATGTTTTAATCATTTAATTCTCTACTCGCATACTAGAACCTTTAGTGCCTTGCTTTGTTAGTTTATTATTTTCTTTCAAACGAAGCAGACGTCTATTTTGAATCCTAACTAATATTATAAAAGCCAATGTGAGTTTTTTGTTTGCTTGTTTTTTACCATTTCACCCAGTAACTATTTAATCGACCATCATGAAATTTTGGGCACACGTTGTTGTTAGGGGTACAGAACAGGATATAGGGTACCTTTTATCCAGAAAGAAATACCTACCTACTTTTTATCATCATCATAAGGTCATCAGTCCTAAGACTGGTTGGACACGTACCTCCACTCTTTCCTATCCTGAGCTAAACTTCGCATTTCCCTAAAACTAGAACAGCCCACATCCTTAACTATTTGCGAACAGTAATCTAATCTAGGTCTACCTCTACCCCTCCTAACTCCTGTTTCTGCCTCTAATATGTCTCTGACTAGACCTTCATGCCTGAGAAGGTGTCCTACCAACCTATCTCGCCTATTTTTTATTGACTTCCATAGAGTCCTCTGTTCTCCTATTCTTTCCAATACCTCTTCATTTCTAACCTTTTCTACCCACGATATCCTCATCATCCGCCTATAACACCACATTTCGAACGCTTCTAACCTTTTCTTTTCCGCCGCTCCCACTTTTATTTACTACAAAATTACTTTATGTATTTTATTTGTAACTGGTATGCTCTGCAAGCATTTAATGAGCATTTAATTACTGTGTGATCAAAAAGCTACCTTCATGTTTTGCTCACTCAAGATAGCAGAATAGTAATATTAGAAAAATGCCTATAGCATTTAATTTCCCATTATGGCAGTTAATTAAGCTTTAGCTTTTAGCTCGCCCCCTTTATGCCAATAACGTTTTGTCCATGACGCGAATTCTTTAATTTATTGAAAAATACTCTATGCATTTTATTTGCCCACTTAAGCTAGTAGAACAGCAATTAAAAAAAAATGCCTGCAACATTTAATTTCCCATTGCGACAGTTAATTAGCCTTTAGTGAGCCTTTAATTAGTATATGACTAGGAATATCTTTTTAAATATGCTTTTAGTCCCCCTCTATTAAGCCAACGTTTTGTCCATGTCGTGAATTCTTTTATTTATTGCAAAAATGCTCTAAGCATTTTATTTGTAACTGATATGCTCTGCATGCATTTAATGAACATTTAATTACTGTGTTATTGAAAGATACCTTCATTGCTGACAGTGTCTTTTTGCCCTTGTTTTGTTTACTTAAGTTAATAGAACAGTAATTAAAATAAAAATGCCCATAGCATTTAATTTCCCATTGGGACAGTTAATTAGCCTTTAATCAGTATATGACTAGGAATCTTTTTTTAAATCAGCTTTTAGCCCTCCTCTTTTATGCCTACGTTTTGTCCATGTCGCGAATTTTTTTATTAATTGTAAAAATAATCTATGCATTTTATTTGTAACTGGTATGCTCTGTAAGCATTTAATGAGCATTTAATTACTTTGTAACTGAATGATACCTTCATTGCTGACAGAGTTTTTCGGCCATGTTTTTTCAACTTAAGTTAGTGGAACAGTAATATAAAAAAAGAATGCCCATAGCATTTAATTTCCCATTACGACAGTCAATTAGCCTTTAGTAAGCCTTTAATCAGTATATGACTGGAATCTTGTTTGAAATCTACTTTTAGCCCCCCTTCTCCTTTATGCTAACGTTTTCTCTATGTCGCGAATCCTTTTATTTATTGCAAAAATACTCTAAGCATTTTATTTATTTTCTATAAATATTATAGAACATTTAATTACCTAGTCTATACCTATAAATTGCCCTCTACACTTTTTTTTCATTTTCAGTAAGTACTTAATTAGAATTTATTGAGTATTTAATTGTCTGTTTTTGATTCTTCTGTATTAGCTTTTCCTACTTACTGGAAGCAGAAATTGAGCACCGTTGCCTTACTTTTGTTAAAAAAGTAAATGTTAATTTCATTTCATTTATTTTAATCAATACCTATTCTATTATAATATAACAAAAAGTATGCTTTTTGGCCATTTGGAAAAACCCCAGTACGTTATAAACGTGTTTAAAGACTAATATGTATTTCAACATCATCATCAATTGAGGTCGTCAGTCTCGAGATTGGCTGGACACGCACCTTTATGTACTTACTGTTTAGAAAATAAATTAGTGTTTTACGAAGAGTTTTTTTAATAATATTATACCAATGATGTTGGAGGATTATTAATTATTTTGCCCTTTATTTCTTCGCATTGCGTGATACAGAATACATTAAATTGCATTATTTTCGTAACAACTTTTTGTAAATGATCACACGCGAAACAAACTAAACAATAAAGCAACCCATTCCGTAAAGTAGCAGAACAGTTGTTGTTAAAGGCTGCATAGTCCATGACCATCATAATAATTGTTGCCAGCTGTTATATTACATACAGATCTACACGTATTTATATCTACATATTTATAAACCGTAAGTTAGCACCTAGATATTTATTTATACGAACATATGTTTTAAAGTGCATCAGTAACATTTCTTCTTTTTTTTTTCTTTGTTTTATGCTATTATTTTTGTATAAAAAAAGGCTACCTATATATGAAGTACTTCTGGTTTTACTTCAAAATCAGTTGATTATTTAAATTAATTAAAACGTTAATCCGAATTCATATTTTCAGTTTCTTATGGTAGTCTGCGCGATTTAATTTTGCTAGGACTAATTGTAAGTCATGGGTCATAATCTAGGTTTGAGTTTTCGTTTCTTTTTTGATTTGTACTTGTGCATTTGTGAACAAAAAATAATTTATATGCATGTATTTTTGTTCATTAAATCATTTTTTCAATATTTTAACGACTCATTGTTTGCTACCTAAGCAACAGGAACTGAGCTGTACTGTAAGATTAAAATAGTAATTTGTTGCATTTTAAAAAGCGTTTGTTAGTAATAAAGACCATTGTTTTATGTAGGGAGATACTTACTTATAGTTTTGCGTCATGTTTAGCTACTTCTAGCTATCTTACAGGTGTAATTGTCCTCAGAGCTGGACAAAGGTTTAGTCCTTTGTGTTTGAAAATGTGTTTCCAATCTTTGCAGAGCTTGCAATTGAAGCTCATTCAATGAACATATACTAGGGGCTTTTGATAAACGAATTATTTTATGAAAGTGCTTTGTAATTTGTAATTGAAGCATTTTTATGGTATATTTTTCAAAGTAATTGATAAATTGAAGTTTTTGGATTTTAAAATGTAGTTGGGACTGCGGGATTAATTCATGGAGCCTTTTTGGTGAGAGACTATTGCCCAGCTCTGATTTTCCTTGTAGCACTCTGTTGGGTGCGTAATGTTAGTCTACGTATTATTTAATTTATAGTAATAAAATGGCGTAAAAAGCGATACTAAATTCTTGGTTGAAAACGTTATTATATGAAGATGAACCACTGCCAGAAGTTTAACGACTTGGAAAATGGACAACAAACACAAATCAAAAAACCAATAAGTACAATTCTGTGGGATTGTCTTCCTATATCTGTTGGTAAGTATTCTACAGTCAGATATTAACCTTTTCGGACCCCTCCACCCCACAACAAGAACGTATTTTATGAACAACACCTTATCGCTTTCATTTGAGTTTTGGGACAAGGTGTTTTTTTTTCTAAATTATCCTATAGGCAATTGTAAAAAGATTAGGTCCTATATTCCATAAAAAAAACATTTTTTAAAACGTAAATGTTTTTATTTTTGGTGGTAAATACACAAACGCTGTTTCGCTAGAAGAAATAATAGACGTAGTGCTCTTAGAAAGAAGTTTTTTGTCTCTCTTTCTTCTACCTCACAGTTGACCTTGAATTACGATAATTAATTAAATTTGCGTCGTATTTTCAATATCTTCGGTTTTTTGGAGCGATATAGAGAAGGGGTCCTCCGATTTTTAAGAAACTTATTGGAAAAAATTAATAACAAATAAATTGCAAAACTTTTGAGTACGTATTTCCACAAGCGTTTTTCTTTGTCTCCCTTAGTATTGGCCGCTAATAAAATTTGTTTACCTAAGATACGTCATATCAATCAATTAATTAATAATTAAATGAAAATATGTAATAAGAAATTAGTAAATAATAATTAAAGCAGTAATCAAAGGAAAGAAGTGCTTATCTGTAATTTTTAATTTATTTTTATTTTATCCTTGTTAATAAAAAAACCAAAGTTGCCGTTTTATGTGACGCAAATGCATTGATCGTTTAATAATAGTCTCTTATATTAATTAATTCATAAAATGTAGGTTACTATTGTTGTAGACTTCTTTAAACTATCGTTTTGACCGTGGAAGTAATTAAAGTGCGGCAGATTCTATTTCATTGGAATAATTGGCCTCAATTGAAACTAACAATTTACTTGACAAGAAAAAGCTTGTAAAATATCTTAGCAATTTGTACAGCAACTTTATTGTACATTTATTGAGAGATGGAGTTTACGTCATCGGCAGTCTATATGACGAACCAATCTGAAAAGTAATAGTAGCAACTAATTTCTAAATAGATAGAAAATACGACACCGGCTACGTCCCCGTTTTAGTATAAATAAGACTCTATATAAAAGAGTATTTTCGTCCGCCATTTTGGATCCATCGAGCATGGAAGACGCCATATATTCCTCGTATATTAACGTGTTCGTAATAATAAAGAATAACGCAGGTCGCTGCTTACCATCAACTCTTGATTCAGCCTCCGACAGCGTGTATTTCTTTATGACTTCTCTCCTTCGGATATGGATCCAAAATGGCAGATGAAAATACCTCTGTTTTGTTATGGAGCTCTACTATAACTAAGGTACTAAACACATCACCGACATTTTGGATCCAGGTCATAGATAATGGGCCTTGGTTGACCCACTATAAATCTAGGCACCTACACCAAAATTTCAAATATAAATACATTTTAATCTTAGCTACAATTCCTATTATTATTTCAATTGGAGTCACTTCTAAATCTAACAGAGTCTGGATCATTGAACTTACATTTCTTTCCATCAAAATGGCGGATAAAAATACGCGATATCAGAAGTTAAAATTTCTAATAGTTATAGCAGAGTAGTGCTGAAGATATGGGTACTATCCCACGAACTTTACAATTTCTAAAATAAATACATAACTGGAATAAAGGGCCACACGTGGGGCCCTAAGAGTCGGAGTCCGATGCAGAGTGCATTGTTTTGCAACTTAGACTCGCCTTTATCTCCAGTATCCAAAATGGCGGATTATAATACGCATGTAATTAGTAGTTATCTTACTATAACTGAAAGTGTTAATATGTCATCAAAACTTATCGAAATGTTGTTTTAAAATGTTTGGATACTGTTGTATGGAAAAGGGTGGGATGTCATTTAGCTTATCTTAACTTTTGGGTTACTTTTGAAAGCAAAATTGAAACTAATAAGTCTATTCACCACTCCTTCACTAATAATTATTTAATGGGTGAATCAAAACCGAGCAGGGGTTAAAAGTTTTTATTTTTCAAATCAGTCATATTGTTCGACCTTAACAAGGTTAGTTTTTTCGTCAATGGGATATATGATAAAGTCCAACAACAAAGGGCGGAACGTTAGCTGTTATTTTTGAATAAACAAAAACTTTTAACTCCTGGTCGGCTTTAATTCATCCATTGAAACTAATAAGTGCCTAAGTACACAATTAAAATTCTTATGAGATAAATATTTTTTTAGCATCTCTGGAAGCATATTGTTTTGGTTTAATGTTAGGATGGCCATCGCCGATGTATCAAAAGTTATTAATCAAAAACACCTCGGTGTCCATAACGTTCGAACAGACTGCGCCCCTGGCAGGGTTTTTAATGTTCGGAGTAATTTTCGCGACTCCTCTGTCAAAATGGTCACCAGCTGGCAACAAATATGGTCTTATATTTGGAGTTCTACTTATTTTAATCGGCTGGGTGGTAATGTTTTTGGCCAGAACGAATTTGTGGTTGTTCGCGAGTCGGTTGGTTGTTGGATTGGGCCACGGATACGGCTTAGGGCAATTGAAACTGTACGTGGTTGCTATGAGCGAAGGAGAAATGGTAAAAACATTCACCAAGTTGATCAGTTTGTACGTGTTTTTGGGGACCATCACGGCGTTTATTGTCGGGCCTTTTGTGACGTTTTGGACGTACTCACTTGTCTCGATTTGTTTAACGGCATCTGTACTTATTCTTTTGTTTCTTTTACCCAAAAAACCCCTAAAATTAAGGAGATTTTTGAGAAATGACAAATATTTAAAACCTCAAAATGATTCTTTACTAGATAGTACAAAAAATTTTGAATGTAACACGCCGGCACCGGTACAAATGTCGCTTTTTGAAATATGTAGGAACTGGCAACTTGTGAAAAAAACGTTTCTATTTTTTCTTCTAACATTTTTTCAACAATATACAAGTATCCCCCCGTTAACTGTCTACACACAAATCGTTTTTGAAACGCTCGGTTATCCAAGTCCCCACATTTTAGCAGCTTTATTTATTGTTTTTCTCTCTACAATTACTTTATTTTTTTATTTTAAAATGACGGAAATGAATTCAAAAATTTTATTAACATATTCCAGTATTCTCTTATCGTGTTCGTTGTGGTTTCTTGTGTTTACGTTACACAACAATTTAGAAACTAAATTTCCTTTTATTTGTTTATTTATTTTATTGTTTATCGTGTACTGTCACGCTTTCGGTTTGGGAACAGTGCCATTTAAAATTGTTGGCACCTTTTTTCCAGCGGAGGTTCGTTCAATAGAAGAAATGATTTTTATAATGTGTTATTCCTTTTTTGCGTTGAGCAGTACCAAAATATTCCAGGTTTTACTCAGTTTGTTCGGTTTAAAATATTGTTTTATTTTCAATGCAGTGATTGCTACCATTTCCATAGCCTTTACAGTATTAGTTTTGCCAGATGAATTAGATTAACGAAGTCGTTACGTAGTTAAATTTATAGATATTACGGAATTGTTAACTATTTTATAATAAATTTGTGATATAAATATTGCTTAGTTAAGTGGAATTGCCTACGTTTCAGTAGTATTGTATTTTTAATATTTAATTCATCATTGGCAAAGTGAAATATATTTTATTTATGATTTTTACTGTTTTTGGAAATGTTTCTGTGTATATAGGTTTCTTATTAATAAAATGTTTTATTAATTAAATTGCTTTATTTGTTTTTCATGAGCAAGGGGGAGATTCTTAAAAATCGTCCGCTTGGAATTCAGTTTGTGATTATAATAAGAGTAATAGTTTATTAGCTGTGTTGCAAAATTGGTCTTCACAAAATGTTCTTTCATTTTGACAGAATAGTATGTAGTCTATGTCCACCCTAAAGACGCATTCTAAATATTGGTGAAAGAATTTTTAAAATGATATGAGTAGTTTCGGAAAATACTTCCTACATCGCAATGTACAAACTTTAGCACTTTATAGTATTCGTGTAGATAAAATAATTAAACAACAAAGTTCAATATTAACGACAGTGGGCTAGTAGGTCAATTAATGACAGTTTAAATAGTGGAATCAATAATAATTGAGGGAGTGGAACCCAAGATCACAAAGAAGCAAATAATGCAGGGTGGTGAGACTGTCGTCGTCAGTCATCCTGTGATGGTTCCTTGTCATTTTCTATGATCCCCAATTATATAATAAGGTAAGCTAATATTATTTATTATTANTTGAGTCTTTATCCATTGAGGAACATAAAATTGTTGATTAAATTATTCTAAACTACAGAAATTTGGTTTTAAATACTACATTATAGTAATTATATTTCTAAATAAATATGTTTATATAACAATACTGACGATTTTATATACAGAAAATGCAAACTGCATGTTTTTATGCATTTCGTTGGCTACATGGTTTACCAGTCTCATTAAAATAATATGAACTCAGACAAAGCATACTGGAAATTTATTTTTTTGGCTTCATTGTTTCCCTTGAATTGTTTGGAACGCCTAAAAAACTGAAGTGATAATCTATAGTTTGTTTACTTCGTTCATTGCTTTATTATTAAATAAAGAGGATTGCGAATACGATGAACAAAAGGCTTATGCACAAACAGAAAAGAAATGCACACGTGAGTCCAAACAATCCTAGGATGATCTGAAACGTTTTGGTTCCGGTTAATGCGAATATTAACAAACAAAACAATTGACAATTGCTGGCAAACTTTTGAACGTCAGAATCTTCAAAATACGTTACTGTTAACCTTCCAGTTACTGTACTTATTCCCGCAGTATGACATATACAAAAAAGTATCATGATACTGAATGAAGTATAACTCCAAAATAATTTATCTACATCAAAAAATAACACTGCTGCTTCCGCGCATAGGCAAAGAGAAATAAAAATACTTGACACAATAATAGTAACTCTACAATTTATTTTACTATGGCGTTCACTAAAAAGACATATCAAGAACACGAAACAGTAAATAATTGCGTAAACAAGGGCATAATCTTCGGGCCTGCGAAGTCCAAATAACTTAAAAATGAGCTGGGTATAAACTAAGGAAGCTGGAAAGCCACAAAATTGTTGCAAAAATGACGTCAACACAATAACCAAAAGCCTCCTCCAAGCCAGGCCCTTTTTAATCGCAGAAATCACATTGTTGTTGTCACAGATAAAAAGGTCTTTAATACTTAACAAATTCTTCTCGCAATTTGAACGAATGTGTAACAAGATAATTGGAAGGACAATGGCACACGTAAAAATTATCGTGGTGACTACTACACAAATAATTGAAAACAATTTGAACGAAACGCGTGGTCCAATAATGTAGGATAACACAAAACCCGATAACACAAAACAAGAAATTATTTTGTCGAACAATTTCACTTGAGGAAGAAATAGCACTTCATTGATGAGATGTTTAAGGTGAACCAAGTTGATTCCATATCCTAGGCCAATAAGGAATCGACTCACGATGATGGTTTCAAAATTGAACGCCATGTACATTGTCAACCATCCTCCCAACATAAAAAGTACACCCGTCACGACTCCATATTCGGTATACTTTGATAGCGAGGGAGTAAACATGGAAGAAATGTAACCTAATGTCAGGAAACCAGCGACTAAAGCACTTTGGTCTAATGTTATAGGGACAGGACTTTCGGCTGATATCAATGTAGGAAACGTGGGCGATGGCCATCCTAACATCAACCCATAAGGGATGTTTGTAAGTAATCCTAGAAAGAAAAGACAAATTCAAATAAGGATTGATAAAGGAACGGGGTTGATAAAGATAATTTTGACTCTTCATCCTTCAATATTGTTAATGCAGATTAAAGACTTCTATGGGAAAAAAGGGTAATGATTATTTTTATTCAATTTACCCTTAGGGTGCATTTTATTCAGAAAAAATACTGTTCCCAAAGAACAGAAAAATTAGTTTTATGTAGTCGTCGATGTTTTTTGACACATATTTAAGACAACACAAGCGAAGGCAACCATGAAATTTTGTACACACATTATTAGGAGTACAGAAAAGGACATAGGGTACCTTTTATTAAAAAAAATTGGTCTGAGCACATTTTGGTCGGTGCTAATACGACTAACTTCCCATTAGATAATACAGTTATTGTAAAGTACATTCGTTTCTAAAGTTTGAAAAAAACGCGGCACAATAATAAATAACAAACAATGTTTGAGAGTTCGTCATTTTATAAACCCATAAGAAACAGTATTTCGTCTGAGAAAACCGAATTGATAGAGTACTTGCATCAGTCAATTGGTAAATACTATTTTTTATTGTTTATCGATTGTTTATAACAATTCATTTTGTTATAAACAAATTTTTATTATAATATGTTATTATAATATGTTATTCCCTGTCTTGAATAATGATATTTCGTTATTATTGATTCCGTAACTTCATTGTTGTGATTAGATTAGAACGTATTTTAATTAAATTGTTTGTAATTAATTCGTTTTTTTTTTTATAAAAAAAAAACGGCTTGACCGATTTCGTTCAAATTTCTTTCAGATCTTCATTATGATAATATCTTTCGAAAAAATTTTGGTTGAGGGCGATATCTCAATCCGTTCTTGAGATATCGAAAACGAAAAAAATGCTGACATACGAACGTACGTACATACGTACGTACGTACGTACGTACGTACGTACGTACATACACACATCATCAAAAAAATTGGCTAGCATGCTACTAATATGTTAAAACGTGGAAATATAATGAAAATTCCGATTTCACTTTTCGACCCAATTACAATAACTTCCTAATGGGAAGTTAAAAATACTGCTTCCGTGGGGTAGAAAAGAGAGAAAGAGAAGGTTGAAATGAAGAGGCATTAGAAAGAATAGGAGAACAGAGGACTCTACGGAAGTCAATAAAAAATAGGCGAGATAGATTGATAGGACACCTTCTCAGACATGAAGGTCTAGTCAGACATATTAGAGGCCGAAACGGGAGTTAGGAGGGGTAGAGGTAGACCCAGATTAGATTACTGTTCGCAAATAGTTAGGGATATGGGTTGTTCCAGTTTTAGGGAAATGCAAAGATTAGTTCAGGATAGGAAAGGGTGGAGGAACGTGTCCAACCAGTCTTAGAACTAACGACTTTATGATGATGATGGAATAGAAAAAGTAGATTGAAAAACAAAAAGAAAAAAAAATAAATGTGCACTAAAAATGGCAGCCTTACCTATAAAAAGAGCGCAAACTTTTAAAATGTTTTGATGAGAACTTATCATCTGTATTATAAGAACACCCTTTTTGAACGTATATCTTAAAGAACATTAATACTTTCTAAACCTGCATCCATGAGAAGTTGTCACCAAAGGCGACGTCTTATCATAAAAATAAAATTAAATTAAATACACAGTTACGTATAAGTACATAGATTAGTATAATAATAAATGCATGTTTTTGCGTGTGTCTTAATACAAACTTTATAAATTAATTAGTCGGTTTATCAAACGTTAAACAATTGTGCTAAGCCATTCGGCTCATACTAACCTATTGTGTCTTAAAACATTTGTTGAGTAGAAGGCGAAAAGTGCATATTTGCAAAAGGATTACATACATATACGTCTACAGCTTTCAGTAAATAAAAGTAGGAACATAACAAAATAATTTGTTTTATTACATTAAATACAAATAAGAATTACGTGGGGGCTTATTTATATGTATGCTTACAACCAGGCAATTCTATCTTGCTTCTACGTATGAAAATTCCAAAGTCTCAAAATGATTTAGAGGCAGGGTTGAGTAGCACAAGAAAACTTTTGTTGAGTGCGCAGTGTTTGACCGTTATAAAGATGGTTAAACTTCGTGACGAACTTTTATTTCATATGATTTTTAAAAAAGTGATCAAAACTAATTACAAAGTACCTATATAATCCAATTAAAAAATTAATAAAAGTAGTTTTTATTAGGGTAGTTTAAACTAAATGTATTTTTACCTTGCTTATCTTTGTCGTACTTTATTTGTCTTGAAAATTAATTGTTTACTTTAAATTAATTGAATAACGTATGTACTTAATTTTATGACATCAATTAACAATACAACATCGTCTAAAAAGTGCGTGCTTTTGAACTAAACGTGGATATCCTCTATAGAAGAAAATTTTTCTAGAGAATATGTTCTGTTTGTATATGAACCCCTTATAATAGAAACTAAACTCTTACACTTTTTATTTTTTATATTTATTTTCATAATTAACTTTCAAAATCTTCCTGTATTATACTCTAACTTTTGACTTTTCCATTATGTACATTGTAATTAAGTTATTTAAATACACATTAAAAAAAGTAGTTGTGTTTCTGTTTTTTGTAAAACGTGTTAGATATGTGAGTAAAACTTGTCAACGCCATTGTAATTTATTCAAGGTTCATGAAGCAATTGGTAATATAGTAATAAAAGACAGACACACTCTACAAACCGTTTAAATAGAGAGAAATATGCACAAAATTTATAAAGTTTGAACAGTGTTCGGTATTTGCGACTAACCGAGAAAGATAAGGACATCTTTCTCTTCCTTGTTGTAGGTATACCGATTACTAGATTTATTTTTCCAGTAATAAACAACAAAGTAAACGATTTACCTATTTTTGACTTTATAATCTTAAATCGGTAAAATTAAACTGAAGAATTTGAATAAATATACTCGACATGTTCATCAGATAATGCATTTTTACTTGTGTGGCGTAAAAAGAAAAATTTCCTACAAAGAAATGTGTAATTTGTATGTTCGGCGAACTTTTTGCCTTACCTGTATATTATTATGAAAAAACGTCGGAAACTGTAAAGGGTCAAATATAGGTGAATCAAACAAAGACCTGTAGGTACAAATAATATATATATATNAAATTTGTTAATTTCTGCATTTATTAGTTTGTAGGGGCTAAATTCGGAAATTAACGAATCAACGTTGAAAACATCGTCATTGTTTCAGTGTTTTGGGGTGGTTGTCGTTTACTTTTAATATTTTTTAAATGAAAAAGGGGTTCTTTTGTTGTTAAGATTAGTCTACTTATTTCGAGCGTCATTGTCTGTCTCTTAATTTCCGAATACTTGCTCTCTTTAACAATGGTATACTTGAACGGTCGACCGAGAGAACAAGACATTTCCCTAGTTTCAATAAATACCAATTATAAATTTGTTTTAAATAGTAATGCATGATCTTTATATAAATTATACTTTTTTGAAGTTATATCACAAGGAGAATGTGTTTGCTTCTTCATCCTGTAAAATGTAGTACTTAATTTAGGAAAATAACGACTCAAATAAAGCTGAAAGCCCTTTCATTGCCTGTAACCTATACGATCATCAAGGTAATTGTTTTGAAGATTAATGCCTGACGTTTTTGTAAATTAAACTTTGTTGATCTTGTATTATATGGAGAATTTCTCTGCTTCTCCATTTTGTAACATGTGAGATCTAATTTCGGAAAATAACTACTCAAACAAATCTGAAAGCCCATTCATAGCACTTCAGTTATACGACCACCGAGGTGATCGTGGTCTACCTCTTTTAATTTTTTTTTAACAACAAAGGCACCACTGGTTGGTGAAATTAGTGAACCTTATTTATATCGTAATTGTAAATTTTTTATTCCCAGAATACTTGCTCTCTTTAATATTCCCAATCAGTAATTAAAACATTGTCTCGAATATTAATGCACTGTTTTATCAATTAACCCTTTTTCACCTTGTACTACAATGAGAATGTGTTAATTTCTGTATTTAATAGTTTGTAGGGTGTATTTCGGAACTTAACTAATCTAGGTTGAACGCATCTTCATTGTTGCAAAGCTCTTCGACTATCAGGATGGTTGTGGTTTACTTTCAATATTTTTTAAATGAAAAAAAGACTTCTTTTATCTTTAAGATTAGTCTACCTTATTTCGAGCGTCATTGTCTGTCTTTTATTTTCCGAATACTTGCTCTCTTTAACACTGGTATGCTTGAACAGTTGACAGAGAGACGAAGACATTTCCCTAATTTTTAATACAAATAGCAATTATAGATTTGTTTTAAAGAGTAATTCCTAATCTTTATATACGTTAAACTTTTTTGAACTTGTATTACATGGACAATGTGTTTATCTTTTCATTCCATAAAATGTGGGGTGTAATTTCTGAAAATAACGCCTCCAACAAAGCTAAAAGCCCTTCCATTCCTTTTAAGCCACACAATCATCGATACTTACCCTCTTTAATAATTCTAAACTGTAAAATAAAATTTGCCTTAAATATTAATGCATTTTTGTTCGTAAAAACCTAAGAGATAGTTTGTCAGGGGCTCTAAGGGTTATTTACCGAAACTATCTAATATTAGTTTATTATTTTCCAGGGGAACTTGATCTTCTCCCACCCTAATTTTTGGTATACTAACTCAACGAGGCATTTATGATAAGATTCTGCTTATAAAATAGTTTGTTAGGGGGTCTGACGGTTATTTACCGGATACGAAACCATCCAATACTAATTTATTATTATGCAGGGGATGTTGTTCTTGTTCCACCATAATTTGTGAATTTTAGTTTAGACTCGTCTAAGAAATAGTCAGGGGGCCTGAGGGTTATTTACGGGGTGTGAAAATTTCCATACTAGAGTAACATTCTCTCATCTTGTATTACAAGAAAAATGTGTTAATTTCTTTATTTAATAGTTCGTAGGAGCTGATTTCAGAAATTAACGAATAAAAGTTTAAAACATCTTAATTGTTTCAAAGCTTTTCGGTTATCGGGCTGGTTGTAATTTACTTTTAAAATACTTTAAATTAAAAAAGGCTGCTTTTGTCATTAAGATTATAGTACCTTATTTCGAGCGTCATTGTCTGTCTTTTATTTACCGAATACTTGCTCTCTTCAACAGTGATATGCTTGAACGTTCGACCGAGAGAAGAAGACGTTTCCCTAGTTAAAATATAAACAGTAATTATAGATTTGTTTTAAAGAGTAATTCCTGATCGTTATATAAATTAAACTTTTTTGAACTTGTATTATAAGGACAATGTGTTTATCTCTTCATTCCATAAAATATGGGATGTAATTTCTGAAAATAACGCCTCTAATAAATCTGGAAACTCTTTTATTGCTTTTAAGCTACACGATCATCAAGGTGGACCCTATTTGTTGCTGTCATTAATAGTTCCAAGCTGTAATTAAAAATTTGTCTTGGATACTCATGCATTTTTATTCGTAACAATCTAAGAGATAGTTTGTCAGGGGGTCTGAGGGTTATTTACCGGATGCCAAGCCCTCCAATACCAAGTTATTATTATGCAGGAGAAGTTGTTCTTGTCAAACAATTAAATGTGGTATTCTTATTTTGCGAGTAATTTATTATTATCCAGGGGAGGTTGTTTTTGTTCCACCATAATTTCTTGTATTCTAACGCTACGAGTAATTTAAGATTAGACTCGTCTGTAAAATAATTAGTCAAGGGATCTGAGGGTTATTTACGGGGTGTGAAAATTTCCATACTAAAATAACACTTCCTCATCTTGTATGAAGAAAAATGTGTTAATTTCTGTATTATTATAGTTCGTATGAGCTGATTTCGGATATTAACGAATCAACGTTGAAAGCATCTTAATTGTTTCAAAGCTGTTCGGTTGTCGGGGTGGTTGTAATTTACTTTTAATATTTTTTAAATTAAAAAAAGGCTGCTTTTGTCGGTAAGATTAGTCTACCTTCTTTCGAGCGTCGTTGTTTGTCTTTTATTTTCCGAATGCTTGCTCTCTTTAACACTGGTATGCTTGAACGGTCGACCGAGAGAAGAAGACATTTCCTTAGTTTTAATATTAACGGCAATTATAAATTTGTTTTAAAGAGTAATTTCTGACCTTTGTATAAATTAAACTTTTTTGAACTTGTATTACAAGGACAATGTGTTTATCTCTTCATTCCATAAAATGTGGGGTGTAATTTCTGAAAATAACGCCTCGAATAAGGCCCTTCCTTTGCTTTTATGCTACATGATCATCGAGGTGATTATGTTTTTTTTTAATAAGAAATGCCCGTTTTGTCCTTAAAAATAGTGGACCTTATTTCGATCGTAATAATGTATCTTTTAGTATCGGAATACTTGCCCTTTTTAATATTTCTAAACTGTAATTAAAAATTTGCCTTGACTCCAAAATAAGCAGCCTAAAAAGTTTATTTTGAAATTTCATTGCACAATTAAATTCTATTTTTAATGTTTCAAACAAAACTTAAATTTGACTTGAAATAAAATTGTTTAACTCTTGCAAAATGACATCAGTTCTTGTTACGCTGCATTTTATTTTTTAAATACCCAACAAACTTATTTTAGAAATACTTTATGTTTTATGTTGAAAAAAGTCTGCACTTTTTGG